TAAATGGTGTTAAGTATTACTCATCTCGAAATATGACTAAGTAAATCACATAAAAATTAGTGTATTCATTTATCATTTCGATTTATTTTGGGAGTCAAGTAAATCCTTATCACCAATCTTTGCTTTTCACAACGCATAATTGAATTCGGAGTCTCAGTAAAAAGCACTAACCAGTCAGCTAAAACGTAGGACCAGGCACATATATGCATCGGTCCAAGTTGCCATACCTCATTAGCAGAACAAGATCAACACCGAATTCATAGTAGTTAATTTAATGGTAGTAACATATAAAAGAAACATTGTATATAAGGATATAGTACAGGAAGAACGATATATAGCAATTTTAATATCACAGTTTAAAGGAAGAGTGTATACACCTACGCCATTGTGATCGATTCTGAGCCATGTCACACGGAATCCATCGTTGAATTGGTGCAGGTGGTCGCCATCTTAGACGATGTCTCTCCTTACGCTTAAAGTTAGTGTTTGCTGAAAATAAACGATCGTCTGAGCGTAGTTGCAACAGACGATCACTATTATCTGTTCGCTGGGCCGGAATACTAAAATAGCCACCTAAATGTCTTTCTGTTTGGTTTAAGCTACTTAATTGGGCATTAAAGTCACCAGCCACGAGCACTACATCTGAGCGTTTAGCTTTTTGAAGAAGTTCAGAAAGCTTTCTGTAAAACTCATCTTTCACTTCATCATGGCTGCAGTCAGTGGAAGCGTAGGCAGAAACGACGAAAAGGCAACGACGTGTGTCTCTATTCTTCCGAGTTCTTACGGAGCCATTTAGCCGAACAGCACATAGACGACTGTTAACAGGGATCCACTCTATTAGTGCTTGTTCTGCTCTCGTACTAAGTGCTATGCCTACACCTGCAAGTCCACGAGAATTAACCATCAGGTTGTCAGATAAACGGAGGGTGTATTTCGTTGGCTCTCCATTTTGGCGAGGTGAGGTCAAGTGAATGACCAGACTGGGATCTTGTATGCGTGTTTCGGAGACACAGCATACATCGATGATACGAGATTCTAGGGTCTTAGCCAAGGAGGCCTGTTGACCGATTTGACATAGGGTACGTACGTTGAAGGCTCCAATGTGTAGTTTGGAGCGAAGTTTTAGTAGACCTGGGAGTGTCTTGCTCACTAGAATCGTCGGACATGGTGACACTTGAGGAGGAAGCTAAAAGAGGAAGTTTAGTGCCGAAAGTCGAGGTAGAAGGAATAATAGGGATTGAAGGAAACTAATTATGAATACTTACTTACTTACTTACGCCTGTTACCCCATGTGGAGGAGCATAGGCCGCTCACCAGCATTCTCCATCCAACTATGTCCTGAGCCTTCCTTTCCAGTTACTATTCAGCCTTTTCATATCGGCTTCTATTTCCCGGCGTAGTGTGTTCTTTGGCCTTCCTCTTTTCCGCTTCCCTTCCGGATTCCAAGTTAGGGATTGAGTCGTGATGCACATTGGTGATTTCCTTAATGTATGTCCGATCCACTTCCAACGTCTTTTCCTTATTTCCTCTTCAGCTGGAAGCTGGTTTGTCCTCTCCCATAAAATGCTGTTGCTGATAGTATCCTGCTAGTGGATGTTGAGTATCTTGCGTAGACAACTGTTTATAAATACTTGTACCTTCCTGATGATGGCCGTAGTAGTTCTCCACGTTTCAGCTCCATACAGTAGGACTGTTTTGACGTTCGTGTTAAAGATTCTGACCTTGAAATTAGTTGAGTTGTTTTGAGTTCCATATGTTCTTCAATTGTAGAAATGCTGCCCTTGCTTTTCCAATCCTCGCCTTTACATCTGCATCCGATCCTCCTTGTTTATCAACGATGCTCCCCAGGTACTTGAATGTTTCCACCTCTTCCAGAGTTTCGCCGTCAAGTGTGATTGGGTTGGTATTCTCCGTGTTGCATTTGAGAATCTTGCTTTTTCCTTTGTGAATGTGGAGGCCTATCGATGCGGAGGCCGCTGTTACATTTGCTGTCTTCATCTGCATTTTGTCGTTTGTATGAGAGAGGAGGGCTAGGTCATCTGCGAAGTCCAAATCATCTAATTGATTCTGAGCTGTCCATTGTATTCCGTATCTCCCTTCAGATGTCGAATTCTTCATAATCCAGTCAATCACTAGAAGGAAGAGAAATGGGGAGAGTAGACAGCCTTGTCTGACTCCGGTCCTTACTGGAAATGAGTCTGTCAGCTGTCCTCCATGCACCACTTTGCACTGTAGTCCATCGTATGAGTTTTGGATAATGTTGACAATCTTTTCAGGAACTCCATAGTGTCGAAGAAGTTTCCATAATGTTCTCCTGTCCACGCTGTCAAACGCCTTCTCATAGTCAATAAAATTGACGTATAGTGATGAGTTCCACTCAACTGATTGTTCAACGATGATCCGTAGTGTCGCAATCTGGTCTGTGCACGACCGATCCTTACGGAATCCAGCCTGATGATCCCTAAGTTCGGCGTCTACTGCGTCTTTCATCCGATTCAGCAGCACTCTGTTGAAAACTTTTCCTGGTACTGATAACAAACTGATACCTCTGTAGTTCTCACATAGGCTCAGATCTCCTTTCTTTGGTATCTTGATGAGATATCCTTCTTTCCAGTCCGCTGGCACTTGTTCCTATTCCCAAATCTTCTTGAATAGAAGGTGAAGCATGTTTGCAGTTATTTCAATGTCTGACTTCAGTGCTTCTGCTGGTATATTGTCAGGTCCTGCCGCCTTCCCACTTTTGATTTGTCTGATGGCCATCTTGACTTCTTCGATCGTTGGTGGAGTGATATCTATAGGAAGTTCAGTGTGTGCTGGTTTGATGTCCGGTGGATTCAATGGGGCTGGTCTATTCAGCAGTTCCTCGAAGTATTCTGCTCATCTTTTCCTCTGTTCTTGAATCTCAGTGATTGTCTTTCCTTCTTTGTCCTTGACTGGTCTCTCTGGTTTGCTATATCTCCCTGCCAATTTCTTCGTTGTATCATATAGTTGTCTCATATTCCCTTCTCTTGCAGCTTTTTCCGCCGCCGTTGCTAGTTCTCCCATGTATTTCTGCTTGTCGCCTTTCATGCTTTTCTTCACTTGCTTGTTTGCTTCTGCGTAGTCTGCTTGTGCTTTGACTTTCTCTGCTCGTGTTCGGCTGTTGTTAATTGCTAGTTTCTTGTTCTTCCTTTCTTGAATTTGTCCAGGGTTCCCAGAGAGATCCATTCCTTGTGATGATGCTTCTTAGGACCAAGAACCTCCTGACACGTTGAAGTTAGTGCTTCTTTGATCCCTTTCCAGTTGTCCTCCAAAGTAGTTTCTTGTTCTTTCAGTAGATCCTGTAGAGCTTGGAACCTGTTGTTGAGAGTTATCTTGAATTCATTGAGCTTGTCAGCATCTCGAAGGAAGGCTGTATTGAACCTTTGCAGTGCTGTTTGTCCAGTGTTTCTTTAGCTTCAGTCTCATCTTGGCCACAACCAGGTGGTGATCTAAAGCTATGTCAGCTCCTCTACGGGTTCTCACATCTTCCATTGATCTTCAGAATTTTTTGTTGATACAGATGTGATCTATCTGGTTCTCTGTGGTGTGGTCCGGTGAGATCCATGTAGCTTTGTGTATGCGTTTGTGTGGGAATATTGTGCCGCCTATAACCAATTTGTTGAAAGCACATAGGTTTGCAAGTCTCTCCCCATTTTCATTTCTTTCTCCTAGTCCGTGTCGTCCGATTATATCTTCATATCCTGTGTTGTCCACTCCAACTTTAGCATTTAGATCTCCCATCAGGATGGTGAGGTCCTTTCGTGAGCACCTTGCTACAATTGATTGCAGCCTTTCATAGAACTGATCTTTATCATCGTCGTTGCTATCATTGGTGGGTGAATAACATTGGATAACGTTCATTGTGATCCCTTGCTTCTTTGTTCTGAATGATGCTTTGATTATCCTGGGTCCATGAGATTCCCATCCCACAAGTGCATTTCTTGCTTCTTTGGACAGCATTAGAGCAACTCCCTGAGTGTGTGGAGCATTTTCCCCTTCGTGACCGGAGTACAGCAGCATCTCTCCTGTACCTAGCCTTTGTTGTACAGTTTGTGTCCAATGGGTTTCGCTGATTCCGAGTACTGCCAAGTTGTATCTCCTCATTTCCATTGCTATTTGGCTGGTCTTTCCTGTCTCCCACATTGTCCGGACGTTCCATGTACCTATAAAGTGTTGCTCTGGTTGTTAGAAGGTGCATCGGTCTCGTGAATTCCGAGGAATTTCGGCTTTCATCACGAGACGTCATTATTCCTTAAACTCCCAGGACAGAGTTTAAATGGTTTGAATTATTTTTTCTGGTTAGCGTTTTTTTTAGCGAGTTAGCTTTTCTACGGGATGGGGTCGCTAACCCCATGCCCAACCCTCCTCCTTTATCCGGGCTTGGGACCGGCAGTAACTCTAGAAGAGCTACAGGCGGAGTTTAATTATGAATACAGTGATCTTAAGTGCTGTTAGAGGTATAAGACCGGTTATCACTTACCGGTTGCCCACACCGTGGAAGAGTTCTACTAGAGGTACCTGAAAAGGAATTTGCATTAGAAGTGGTCTTAGTGACCTTAGAGCCTGACCGCAATGCTCAAGGGACAATTGCTTGAGGTCGGTCACATACGACCTTTTTGTGTCAGTTCCGTACTTGTTTGGACCTTACCGCCGGAGACGGATATCCTTGGGATAGGGCGAGGTGTGCATTTTAGGGTGGACCTTCTCTAACCCGCTCTTCAACCGACCTGTCTGGCATGGTAGGGCATTGAGGGACGATTGTTCCAGCCAGTATAGATCGATTGTTTCATCACGATAGGCACGCCCGACCACCACATCAAGGTAGCAGCAACAGTCGGGTATAAATGGAATGTCGGTGCCAGTAGGCATTCCGGAGTCATATAAATGTCAGGAATAACACAACTGATTATCTTCAACTATCTAATACATACAAACATGCACGTATCATTAAAATGAGTTTCCTATTGCTTCACCTACAGATTTATGAAGAAGCACCTACGAGCAGAAAGTCCAGATCCTTCAGATATCGAAGCAATGAAAGTAGAAATTGCAGAATTAAAACAAAAGGTAGAAATGTTGGAAAGTGAAAATGCTGAATTAAAACAAAGCATAAACCAACAAATAACACCAGGAATTGGAATAAGTGATGGTAATATTTAATGAATTCAAATGTTTGATAAAAAACACTCCAAACTGGTAATATTTTTAACACAAAATGAATTTTAAGTTTTTAACTGCAAAAAGATGTTAAATCGATATTGCCTTAGCCGTAAATATTGTTGGGTGTAGGATAAATGTAGACAACAGTCCAGGAACTGAAAACATATGTCTCACACCTGCTGACACTAAGAATGTATCTATAAAATCAATAAAAAAGTTGTAACCGGCGTTATTTGAATTCTCACACTAAATGTAGAGTAATATAATAGTTGTTCATCTCGTCTAATTATTTTACAAGAACAATAAGTTTTGGTTAAAGACTAAGTATGAAGATGACTGGCAAATGAATGCAACATGATCAATGATCAGTTTCGATAAGTTCGAATTTCATCAGTCAATATGTTGTGCTGGAGTAGGCGATTGTTGGACAAACGTATGTCACAACTTTCTTGATCAATGGCGTTTATAACCTTGGTAATTGATTAACTATGTTCGCCTGCTACCCCAAGTTTAACATTAACATTACTCACTCATAAATTTCGACAAAAAACCACTTTTATTTGAGATAATGAATATTTTCCGTTTGAATGATTTCCAACACGAATCGATATTAGTGATTCATGCTCCCTGGTTTTTCAGCATTAGCACTAGTTTTAAGTGATCATAGTCGTAATCAAATAGGAGATAGAAAATAATAATATTCTGAATTGACTATATATATATATATATATATATATATATATATATATATATATATATATATATATATATATATATATATACCTATCTCATTAGGATCATTATGCCAAATTTTCACCAATAACATGCACAAGTCAACATATCTAACTAATAAGCTAGCTTTGAATTGATATGTCTGATCGACACACCTTAAGACTTTGTTCTTTAACGTCTGTTGTTGACGAAAACAGTACCAGATTTGAATGTACTTATCCGATTAGGGATGACCAGTGAGCCCCTTAGATAGATAAACTAAAAAAGAGACGGATATATACATTTAAAAAATTCTTTTTGTAACAAACGATCGTGATTTAAATATTATTATAAATGACTTGAATTAAACTACAAAGGAGAATATCATCATCATAGTCACGGGATTACAAAACTATGCTAAATGATAAGGAAAAATAAAATATGTTCCAGAAAACCTTTAGCAAATTTGTATTACAGTAAATCCATGATTGAATAAATGGGATATTGTGATTACAATGAATCAAGTATAACGCACTATCTACTTTGATAAAAACAAATAAAGAGGGAACAAAAATGAAAGTCTATTGTGTTTATTTTAGAAAAGGTGGGTTAATGCGTGTGTAACCTGTTTATTTGTTTCAATTTACGTAATTTATCGCGAATAAACACATGTGTTTAGATTTAACAAAAGGCTAAAATAAGTGGGTAGTTAAAGTTAATTTTGTTTTGACAACATCTGAAAAAGTGTTTTGAATAAAAAACCATAACCACAACCAACATTCTTTTATACGGTTAGATTACGTAATATGTTAAATTCTAAAATCTATAAATTAAACTATTCAATAAAATATAAGAAAAATTAATATTTAATTGTAACAAGTAAATTGGTCGTAGCTGGATGATTAGCAAGCGCTTTTGAAGAGAAAGAAAGGAATAAAAGACGAGAATTATGGAGTTCAATTGTTTCACATATTATAATTTCAATAGATGCCTATACTATCGGTGAAAAATATGGAGAAGATTTTGGGTTAACTAAATGTCCACAGATAAGGGAATGAATAAAGTAGTCACAAGTAACCATTTCAATAGGTAATGTTTTCATAAACGCGAACGCCGACTGATTGATCTGAAAAAAAATCATAATGAATAATATGTGAAAATTAAAAATGAACTTTTAAGTAGAGATGGATAATAGCTATTATTGGAATTCAGAACGTGCGTTTCGTTCTAGAATGACTCGGTAGTTACGTGCGTAACGCGATAACATTTAGAGTAACAGTACTGGGTTCGGGTCTCGAGGTAAAAAATCAAATCCGAGAAGATACATCTGGCTGACGAGTTACAAATAGGGCGGAACGCGCATCTTAGATTCCAATGCAAGATACCATTTCTGTTTCCATTACCTATTGGCAATATTGAGGGAATCCGCACAAGATCCACATATGACAAAAAAATGACCAGTTGCAATTTTAAACATCGATGGAGAGATTCGAAAAACCAATATACATAAAATAAGAAGTGAGCGTTTTGTAGTAAATATATTTTCGATTGTCTTCGATTTGCGAGAAATTAGTATTGTGATATATGCTACTTATAATCAGAAGGGGATTTGTGGAGATTTCAGTATATTTCAAAGTTGAAATCATGAGTCAATTGAAGCTAGACCACCATCGAAAACCTGGAAGCACTGGACGGCCGTTTCGTCCTATTATGGGACTCCTGGGTTCGAGTCTCGCGAGAGCGGGTTCGTAAATGCGCACTGCTGAGGAGTCCCATAATAGGACAAAACGGCCGTCCAGTGCTTCCAGGTTTTCGATGGTGGTCTAGCTTCAATTGACTCATGATTTCAACTGTGAAAAATACTGAAATCTCCACAAATCCCCTTCTGATTATAATCCCATGCTCCCTAGTGACTGACTTCAAGATACATGTCCTGGAGTTCTAGTGGGAAGCAGTGACCAGTGGAGTTCAACCACGTCTGTTGTGAGATATCAACTCACTGAAGACAATTGGTGAACGGTTGCTCAGCTTCGTGGATCAGTTGAAGTTAGACATTAACACCGTTGGATGCCAGCTCAGTGGTCTATCGGTTAAGGACTTCGGCTCGTGACTGGTAGGTCCTGGGTTCGAATCTCGCTCGCGAGAGCGGGTTCGTGGATGCGCACTGCTGAGGAGTCCCATAATAGGACGAAACGGCCGTCCAGTGCTTCCAGGTTTTCGATGGTGGTCTAGCTTAAATGATTTCAACTTTGAAAAGTATGTTACTTATGTCGACATAAGTAGTATATAACACGAAACAAATGTGGAATCCCTGGTAGCAGAAGGCTGAGAAGATCGAATCGAAGAGAACGGGAACAGGAAGTAATTGTAATAGCAATGAAGGAACGATGAAGTTTCAGAAAATTGATGGACGACTTGCAAATGAATTACTGAATGTATGGTTTCCACACTTTATGTTGTCGTTCATTACAGTATGACATTCGAACTTATGAAATTTTTGGAAACGCCAAACAATTTTTGGTTGCATGATAAAATAATCTGCGGCAGATGAAAATGAAACTATTCTTTTAAAAGAACCAATTCACTATGATGTAGATTCAGTGAACATAAACAATCAACTTAAGACTGATAGTAGGTAGCTGTTAAGAAACCTCTTGAAGTTTAAATCCCATTACTTCGGCAGCTAAAATAGCTTTTAAAAAGGTAGTCATTAGTATGTTAGTTCTACCGTGAGCATTACAATCATGGTGTAAAAGTTAGAGTCACTCATACTGGTTTTAGGAAATTATTAATGTGAGTGTCCACATAAAATCATATTAATTTGGGACAAAATATACTTCAAGCTCATTTCGATTTTTAATCTGTAGACTAAATTTTTCCTCAACTTCTCAATTCATGATCGGCATCCGGAGATTCATTTAAATGTATTATGTACTTGCTATGTAAAAGCATTAGAATGGTATCCACTTGTATTGTTTATATTGGGGAGCACAAAAGCGATCTTTAGATTATCTAAGAATACCTAAGAAAGGCTCAAAATATTACGTAACTTTACTCGTAGTGATGGTTATTGAAAAAAAAAACAATACAACCGCTTGAAGCAAACCATTTATGTAGCGTGTGAAATTTGAGCGTAAATTCTACGCTATTTTCTTAGGTTTCGATGGCGAAAAAGAAAACATCGCAATAGGTAAAGTATTCACCAAAAAAATACGGAGGACTAGTTGTTAAAGAACTCAGCTATTAACCAGTAGGCCGCCCCAGATGTGGATCCCGCTAAACCTACTTTAGTTTAATCAGATATATAGGATCACTAGTTCTCAAGTGAAGTATGGCTCAAAAGTAAATACACAAATTTGTTTTTAGTAAGTGAAATACATCGTGATTTATCAAAATTATTGCTAGTTAAAGCATTCGAGCAGTTATATATTTTACTAGTTTTACTGAGACATCTATACCAAATTAAAAAAGTGAGAATAAAATTGAAAAAATGTTATTAAATAAACTTATTTTTTGAACTTACATGGTTCTTATCTACTAGCACAAAATTCACTTTTTTCTCACTTGCTTTAGATCTACATCTTACAGATGGAAATAAATCAGATAGTTTTTGAGATATTTCAGATAAATGTATCAAAGGAATTCGATTAGATGAATCACCCGACTCATCGGATTGATTATTGGACCCACAGGCTAGAGATAAAATGTTCAACCAACCAGGACCAAACACCTTAAGATCATTAGTCACTATAGCTACTAAACGATAATTAGTTCCATTATCCGCCCAATCTCCAAGATGGTCAAACAGTGATGGCGAAGGAATTGTTTGATAAGCTGGTGAACGATACCGTACAGGCACAGACCACCTGAAATGTATGTAGGAATACAGCGAGAGTTAAAAGGGAAACACAAGATTGTTCTCTTGAATTAAAATAAAAGTATCACTACAAGTGAGTTAGATGGATATGGTTTTTTACTTAAACATAATCTTTTTCAATGAACAAAGCTGTCAACTTAGTATATAAAAACAAAAATCCAAAAGTTCAGTTAAAAAAGCCCAACGAAAGGCGTATGGACAAGGCAACTAGATAATGTTGCGATATCTTTCCCAAAACGTGAGTAGATAGTGTATGGTAAACACACATTACACACTAATTGAAAGAATAATGAATAAATTAACAAACTAGATTTACCAGTTGCATGCTAGATAGTATTCTGTTTCCAAAATTAAAATAAGTTATTTTTTTAGGTGAAACGTCACATAAATGTAAATTACTCCGAATTTACTTTAACAAGAAAAATAGAAAGTGTCAGTTACCTCTTGCATACCAAAAACAAACGTAGTTTATAAGAGCTAAGTAACTGAAATCTAGACCAAATTACTGAAGATTAAGAATAAGACATTGTATAGAAATGCTTAAATTTCACCAATATATGTACATTTAAATCGCTGACATGTGCCATGTACTCAGTCTTTGTTGGGTAGATGTTGGGGATGTTAGATCTTCAGAAATCACTTGGTAAATACCTTATTTTTGAAATTTTATTTCGAAATTTTGGATTTCTTTGTTTTCACACCAAAAGCGCTCTTTTCACCTTCATAACGTATTTCTCACTTGGGGAAATCTTAAACGCTATTGGTCCGTTGAGTCTTTTAGTATGCGATTTTCTAACGTTTACCAAGGACAGTTTTATGTTGTATATATACGTTTAATTTGTGCCTGTTGGGTCGCTTGTGCTTCTGGCTGCTTGCGGAATATATTTATTCCGTGTTTGGACTTCGACTTCTCTTTCTAGTTAGCGGGGCTGGGACGCATCAGAATAGCTAGCTTATTGGTCTATGGTCACAGGTTTTTGTTCCGTTCGCAGACTAGGTGAACCCGTAATCGCTTCAAACATAGCAGTGGATGACATCAACTAGTATTTATATCAAGAAGCAAAAAATTCGTCAAAAACAGTTCCTTGCTTGAAGTTGTCAAGGCCCTCTCTAACATAAGTGAATCAGTAAATTGTTATTACAGATATTGAAACCAGTCACTGTACTGAATTTACTGCATATTGTATTTAAAAATCAACGTTACGTAAAAGTCAGCTTACCAACTAACTGGTTCAGAAGATCCTGATATTAATCCCCGAGGTAATTCATAACGACCAGGATATGCACGCAACAAGTATAAAGGCCAATTACGATTTTCTTCAAACGACGATTCACTGTTGTATGTTTTAGCATCTTCACGACATGAATCCAACAACCAGTCAATACGTAGTAATGGAACACTGCCTAATGTGGCAAGTGCTTGAAAATATTTTAATGTGCGACAACAATCTGTTGAAACTAAAGCTACAAAATGTGAACATTGACTTTTCTTTTGATGGAAACTGTCATCTAGTTCAGGACTTTCCCAACCATACCTTCTATTCAGTAAAGATGGATTGATTTCTAAGGCAATTTCTCCACCACATGCAATAATTAATTGTTCTAAAAGATTACGATCTATGGATTCATTTGAATTGTAGTCTACATAATAAAATTTAACAGAATATAACAAAAATTTATACTGACATTCTGCCGGAAAGAAAATATAATTCATTTCTCTCTCTCTCTCTCTATATATATATATATATATATATATATATATATATATATATATATATATATATATATATATTGCTTTGTATGCACAGATTACACTTGAATTAGATTGTTAGAAGTGTGCAAAAACTTTCAATGTGTCAGTCAGTCTAACTCAACGTAGAAATTGATGTGTACATCGGTCTACGTTGTAACGCCCCATTAGCACAGTGAAAGGAAATTTTTATGGCGAATCTTATAGTAACAGTATCAATGGTAATAGAAAAGATTATGCATCGAAGATACAAACTGAGGAAAAGAATAAATTCGTGAAATAAGAAATTACGACAAATTCAGAAGCTCAGTACTTGAGAGGAGATATTAAGTGGATGCTCCAGAAAGTGTTTTTCAAAATCTCTTTTAAAGTGAACACTTATGAAGATGATGTTCTCTATAAATGCAGTGAATTTTTCACATTTTTGTTCAAGCTTTAGATCTTTCTCAATCAACCTAAATGGATAGCCGCTGATGATAAGCATCTGCTACAGTTCTTCAAGCGCACCGTCAATCGTATCGCCTGTACATACTTGTCTTGCCCCCGCAGAAAGCAAATCTAGTTTCTCGTCCAGATTAACAAGACACAACTTTTAAGATGTGTGTGTATTGGCCAGACAAGAATAGCTTTTTATATATTGATCTTAGTAACGAACTATGAGGTCTTTCTTTGACAGAACATCCAAAAAGTGGAACTGTGAGTTTGACTTTGATTTTATTGTGAACTTGATCGGTACTAGGATGTCTTTAGGTTTGATACTTTTGGTAAAAAAAATATGGCTCGAATACTGATTGTGTAGAAAGGAACGATCGATTATACGTCTACGTACAGTAATTTTAGACTGGTAATGAAATAATTAGTCAAAAGTGAGGCGAGTGGGTAATTCTATCAATACACCAACATTTTATTCATAAGACTCATTATTAAATTTAAAATGGAAAATGCTATTGATAGATGGTGTTTTTGGACGTCAACATTTGAAGTTTTTTTTTAATTTAACATTGGAGGCGGATTGTTACCATATGATAAACATTTGTAAAGAGAAAGGTAGCATTTAATGCTGACATCTTATTTCTCGTTAAGATGATATCAGGTATTGCCACAGTTAACGTATCTTATGATCTGGAGTTTTTGGTTTTTTTAAACTGATCACATTAACAATAAAGATAATACTTATTATTTACGAGGAAAGTTCCTCTCGGTGAGAAATCTAATTGCCTGATTTTACTGAATAGAATTTAAAGCAATATTCTATCAAAGTATGGGCTCTGAATAAAGACACTAATGGGATTCTATTATGAAAGGTTGCTACAATCAGTAGAAAGCCAGTAGATGGAGACTTGAGCGAAACTTAGTGAATAAGCAAATTAAGCGCATATTGTGAAAATAACTTTCGTAATTAAATGATAACACATTAAGAATCGTAGGACAAAAAAGATGTACTGGAACACCCGTTCCATTCTAGCTTGCGACTACTCAGAAGTGTAAACTAACGATTTCAGGTGTAACCGAATTCAAAATACTGAGTCAGAATTCGACAGGTTCATGTTCCCGATACATAATAGTTTTTATCTTTTAGCATCAGTAGTGACGTTTAGAGTTAGTTCAAAAAGAGCAATTGAACTCAGTTTAACGCTGTAAATTAATCAACACGTATAGTCTCTATTGGTAGGAATTATAGATAACAAATGAATACATTATGTATGGTTTTTTATGACTCATGATGAGAAAAAATCGAAGGATCGTACTTCACATCAATAGGCTTACTTTATTGAGAACTTAACATTCAGATAACAATGTCATTGGCATAAACATTTCTCAATCATTATAGGACTACAGCTAGAAATAAAATAAGTTTACTGACTTTTAGCTCCACCTGTAAGAATGATAGTCCATCCATGGAATACAGTTGGACTTGGAATCGGTATATTAAAATTATGACTTAGTGATCTAAGTAAACCAATTGATGCTCTAGACTTCGGCGAAGAAGACTGTATCCTTTTAGAAACTATTTGATTTGAATCTAAAAAAGGAGTAAACAGTTCAGTAATAATTCATAACAACATAAACACCAAAGCTGTGATCGTAAAGTTAAAAGAAATTAATCTCGCTAAAAAGAATGCAAGTATCAGAAAGAAATGATAAATCTTTAAAAAAACAAAACTTATCTACAATACAATCATAAATTACTTGATGAGAATAGATAGTTATCAAAACCTCTGGAAAGATGTTAGATTTTGAACAATGAACAACAACAGACTGCATGATGAAGGGAATATTTCATTCAATTTCGAACAGAATAATTTAAATATGTCTGCACTCCATGTTTTCACTGGGGCTCAAACTCCATAGTCAGTACCGTAAACGAAATGGCGGGATCTTTTAGGTTACTGAATCAGTGTAAAAATAGAAACTAGGGTACAGGTAGTTTCAAGTGATAAGTAAGAAAAGAAATAGAATATGTGTCCGGGATTTCAATCCTACTCACTATCAAAAAATGTAATTAATATACAGGTGCAGGCAATACAGAAGTATTCATCCAGAAATTCATATGGGAACGAATAATGTTAACATCAGTCCTGAATACTATGAGGAATATCCAAAACCAGATACCTAATGCAGTGACAGCAACTTCCACAACTATTTAAAAATGTTGTATAAAATTAATTACTAGGTGAGATGGAATGATAGTTGAGATGTTAATACTAAACATGGATTGATGTGTTTATCGCAAGACATTCAGCATAACGAAGTGTTCTTGGACGAATCAACGGATTTTGCAACTTACCAGTAATATGAATAATAATTAAGTCACGAAACTATCATCAAAATAGTATTAAAATAGATGAGAAGGGTAAAGCAAAAACAGAATTATTAGTATATGGAGGATACAAAGTGATGAGCACAATCAAACCAATAATCATACGTATAAAATTAACAGTAATAATTGAAAAATAACCAGAAATGATTTAAAAATGAACTGTAAGACGATTACACTTTCAACAAGCCGATGATATTTATCTCAACTATTTCATTTTAGACAAGCAGTACATGCGTAATAAATAGAAAATCCCAAATCCCTGGGTAAGACCGAAGGTTACAATAGTCTACTATCTCCCCAGAAATGCTGGCATTAACCCATGAGTTTAAAGCCACTAACAAGGAAGTTCTACTCAATTGCTTTACGTCGTGAGTGGTTGATAACATTCGAATAAGAGGGTATATAATCCATGGAAAAGGTTGGTGGAAGAAGAAGTTCATTTACAAGGGTTGGAAAGCCGTGAATAAAAAAAACTGTGTACATATGAGGCCAGATCCAAAGAGATAGAATGGTGTACAAACATATTTTTGCGCGCAGGCAATCATCGAATAGAATCTTCTTACAGCTCGTCAATGTTATATCGACTAGATCCTTAAATTAAAGGGTTCAGAGCCGATCTCCAAAAAATTCTGCTTCGCATTGTATGCTAGGGGAGTATTCCATCCCATATACATCTTTACTTACTCCAGTTACTCCTCGTGAAATATCATAAGAAGCACACCAAGATTATCCATCGAACTCTATTCTAAACAATCCTTCCCAGATGCTGTTCATTCTTTTGATGTCTACCTCCAATCCCAGACACAATTTGTTCCTTGGTCTTCCTCTTTTCCTTTTACCTTCACGATTCCAAGTCAGCGCCTACCTCGTGATGCAGTCTGATGATTTCCTCAATGTATGTCCTATTCAACTCCGACGTCTTCTAGTTTCCTCTTCAGTTGGAAACTAGCTTGTTCTCCCATTGTAGGATGTTCATGATGGTATCCGGCCAACAGACATTGAGTATCATACATAGACAACTGTTTATAAATACTTGTACATTTTTGATTATGGTTGTGGTAGTTCTCCAAGTTTCAACTCCGTACAGTAGAGCTAACTGTCTTGATGTTCGTATTGAAGACTGTGACTTTTATATTGGTTGACAGTTGTTTTGAGTTCCAAGTGTTCTTCAGTTGTAGTAATGCTGTCTTTGTTTTGCCAATCCTCTCCTAATTCTATTTGGGTACCTGGGCAGTATCACAGCACACATACAAATCATGTGACTTGTGCGGCGCGTATGTATTCGCTGCCCCTTTTTACCCAATATTTATGTGTTCAAATAAGTAAGTGGTAAACAATTCCTCTCCCTGACATCTCCACTAGATCCTCTTTATTTATCGATGGTGCTGTTCAGGTACGTGAAACTTTCCACCTCTTCCAGTGCTTCTCCAGCAAGTATGATTTGCTTGGGGTTCTCCGTGTTGAATTTTAGGATCCGCTTTCCCCCTGTGTATGTTAAGGTCTATCGCTGTAGAGGCTGTTAATACACTGGTCGTCTTCACCTATTTTTTGATGTGTATAGGATAGAAGAAGAGCTAGTTCATGTACAAAGTCCAAATCATCTTGTTGCATCCAAACTGTCTAGTGTGTTCCTTGCTTCTCTGAGATATGGAGGTCTTCATAATCCAGTCAACCACCAGAAGAAAGAGAGAAGGTGAGATTAACAGCCTTGTCTGATGCCGGTCCTCACTTGGAATGTATCTGTCAGCTATCCTGTGTGCACACCTTTATAGTGTAGTTCGTCGTATGATGTTGACGATTTGCTCTGCTACTCACTCCACAGTGTCGAAGAAGGTTCCATAAGGTCCTTCTATTCACACAGTTAAACGCTTTTTCATAGTTAAGGAAGTTGATGTGTAGTAATGGGTTTCATTCCAATGATTATTTAATAATTATCCGTAGTACAGCGATTCGGCCTGTGCACAACCGATTCTTACGAAATCCTGTCTATTGATCTTGAAGTTGGAAGTCTACTGAATTTTCCATTCAGCTCAAAATCACTTTGTTGAAAGCTTTTCTTGGTACTGATAACAGTGTGATACCACTGTAGTTTCCACACTTGCTCAGACCTCTCTTTGCAATCCGTATGATTTATTCCCCTTTCCAATCTGTTTGTACTTATTCTTCATTCTTACTCTTTCTGAAATGAACATGAAACTTCTTTGTAATTAACTCCCAAATCTTCGTAAATAGAACGTGGAGTATCTTTGGAGTCACCATTATACCTTACTTCAGTGCCTCAGCTGGTATGTTTTCTGGTCCAGCTGCCTTCCCAGTCAATGAATTGACTTCGTTGAGTTTGTCAGTATCTCGAAGGAAGGCTGTATCAAACATCTGTAATGCTGTTTCTCCAGTTTCCCAGGGTTCTTCAGCGGTAGTTTTATCTTGCAACTACCAGTTGGTAATCTAAAGCTATGTCAGCTCCATAAAGAAATAAGAGAATAATTACTATCGAATAAATAAACAAACAGTACTGAAATTGATGTTAGTTGATTAGAAGCGATCAGCAGGGGGTTTTAAACCTAATTTTTGTGCCAACTGTCAAGGTGTATATGATACTTTGATGAAAATGATATCGTGTATGAGATTCAAACTTGTTTCATCTGGTGAAATGTCTGAATAGGATCTCGTCAATGTCATTGCGATTCAATGAAAGTATATTTCAACGCTGAGATGATTAACCTGTACTAACATTGTCATCATGCAGGATAGATTTATACATTATTTTGAGATTTTACTACCTATTTGTTTTTGGAATAGAGGTGATTCCCTACAAGAATGGGTAGAGTAGTCAGCCTACTCAGAAATTCTACAGTCAGATCAATTATAATGAAAACATTATAAAATAAAATGGAGGGAAAGAAAAACATACTGTTTTTTTTATAATAAGTTTCTGTTTTCGAAACAGGTGTTTGCAAAGACATAGGTTGTGTTAGTAGGTTTTCATCATCTGAAAACAAATCAGAAAGACGTTGTTTTTTGGCTAAACTTGAACATTCACTTGAACTGCCAGATCTATTTCGTGAACGATTTATTCGAACAGATGTTGTTGGTAATTTTCGTCTAAATTGATTTTTATATCGTTTGCGTAAATGTGAAGACAATGTCTAAAATAGTTGTTACGATGGGATAATAACAATTTAACGACAACAATAACGTATGAACAGTCAAAAATCGCACACTTATTTATCAAAATGATGAATATATATATAAACACTTATTATTGATAAAGACATAGGAAATAACCATCATCTTCAAGAATAAATAAGATAAACTACATTACAAACCGAAGTTTTATGCCGATTAGTTTATTTCACTTAGCTAAAATGTCAAAAATGTAATTGCATTATGCCTATTTAAAATGTTGATCAAGTTAACAGTTAAAACGAAAACATAAAGAAACCAAACATCAAAAAGCTCTCAAAGCACCACCTAGGAATGCTGTAAGTATATATACTTGAGACAAGTTAAATATCTATTACTTTGACATATTTTACGAACATGTTTTATATCAGAAATCAGAGGAGTTTTACTCCAAACAATGGTTAGTCTTGTAGAAAGTGTATTAATTTTAGTCTAATGATTTTAAATTCCTCTACAAAATGTTTTGATATTGATAAATGTATAGGGAACGTAGGGAAAAAGAATCTGGATTTCGTATCCAGCATACATACATGTTAATGTATATATGACCACTATAACATAAACACTACGAAATGTTACTGAACGTCTTATCTTTCGGCTCATTATTAGTTTTCGTTGAATACACCATAATACAGTTGTCATAATCAAACATATTAGCATAACTTACAAGTTTACTTGGCAATGTTATACAATGTTGATCATCAGTATCGTTTTTAACCGTTGTTAATTGTTTCATTGGCGTGACCCAACTGGATCGATAAACTTTTGGTCTCGATTTTCTCTTATCAAAAACCAAGTTGGATAGACTAACCTTCAAAAACAATTAAGAAACAAAAAATTATACTTATTTTACTTGAACATTTTTTTAAAAAAGAAAACAGTACAACGACTCATCAATATATTCAAATGATAAGTCAAGCAGATTCTTATTGATAAGTAATTGGGAAACTATTAATGTAGAATTAATAGTATGCTAGTTTGAATATGCTAGTCATGTCGCAAAATGATGATATGAGCAGTAAGTACGAATTCTACAAAATTTACAAAAACAGAACTTCAGAAATTGATACTCTACTGTTGAATTTAAGTATTTCTATTAAACTTACCAGATGCAGAATAATGTACTTGGCCTCAAGCTGCACTTGTAGTACCAATTCTAGTGATACTACCCGCTTTCTCCAACCAAAGGAGATGAGGCGAATTCGAACCTGTGACTTAAAAGCTGCAAATCAAACGCTTTGACCATTGAGCCACCGCTCAATTAAAAAGGAAGTCAAGCGAAAAACTTCATCACTGTGATAACTCGGTCTTGTGACTAAGACCAGAACATTACAGTGATTAAATTTTTCATCTGAATTTCGTTTATATGTTTTAAACAAAGTCAGTTGAGTTTATGGAAATAATCGGATCACATGTCAATACATACATCAAACACTTAACATTGGTCCCAGTGCACAAATGAAAAAGATGAAAATCGGTGATAAGGATTTTAATTAAGAAAAATAATGACTATTTTCACAGAAAAATATTGGTGAAATGTTACTTTAAAAAATGTTCTAACCACTTCAACTAATGAAGCGTCTCCAACTCATCAATGGATTTGTCATCTACAGCTTATGAGATTCGTTAGACGTGAAACCAGCTTTAGATATTAACAAGGCTTTTGAAATGTTATTAGCTGGCAAATGTTGGGTCGGATGTAACGTTTTAAACCTTACGTTTTTATTTGGAGACTTTTGAGACAGAACAAGACAGTTATTGACTGTTACTGGCTTTTTCACTGCTTCTACAACTGACTTGATAATTCAAAATGAAGGATTTTTATTTATTAATGCGTTTGTTCACAAACACATAGTTGTGATATATCTAGCTTCTAAGTGGCAATTAAAAGCAAAAACAAATGGAGCAATCTTATGCATATTAAATTTTATATTTTTACCTCTGGACTTGCACATATTTTCGTTATAGAATTATTCATGTTAATTTTGTTTTCATTCTCAATTGAAATTGGAATTTCACAAGAATTAGAAGGTAGCAGTTGTCGCTTTTTCAAATTATCAACTTCCGATTCATGTATTGACACTTGACCTCTTCGTAAACTAAATGAAAAATATGAACATTGTACTTCCATTTTGTACAACAGTATGGATTTGGAATTATATATATATATATCAGAAGGGGTTTTGTGGAGATTTTAGTAATTTATAGAGTTGAGATCATGAGTCAATTGAAGCTAGACCACCATGGAAAACCTGGAAGCACTGGACGGCCGTTTCGTCCTATTATGGGACTCCTCAGCAGTGCGCGTCCACGAGATAGGAACTCACTGATGACATTGGTGAATGGTTGCTCAATTTCTTGAATCAGTTGAGGTTAGAAATTAACACCGTTGGATGCCAGCTTAGTGGTCTATCGGTTAAGGGCTTCGGCTCGAAACTGGTAGGTCCTGGGTTCGAATCCCGCGAGAGTGGGTTCGTGGACGCGCACTGCTGAGGAGTCCCATAATAGGACGAAACGGCCGTCCAGTGCTTCCAGGTTTTCCATGGTGTTCTAGCTTCAATTGACTCATGATCTCAACTATATATATATATATATATATATATATATATATATATATTCTATATTGAATACATATCTGTTAATAGTACCGTATAAATATTACTAAGAGAACAGTACTAGAAAAGTGGGAACTTGGACTTATGTACATTTCTACCAGGTTCTATGCTGTGTGCTATTAACTAACTGCCATAGTCCTATTATTTTAGGAAACAGATCACTAAATTAATTCGCATGTTACAAAATACACAAGAAAAATATTTTCAATCATTTAGGTGAATACATGAAAGAGGTTATTAAGTAATTAACCCTCAATTAACCGTCTATTGTCGAAAAAAGTGTAGAAGTAAATCTTTACTGATTCCTAAAAATCCTAAGCAATGTTTACTATTTTAATACGTCTCGAGTATTAAGAAAAAGAAATCACTTTTAGAAGGACAGAGACTTGATCAAAGTATGTTTAAGCCAGATTAATGTTGGAGCAGGCTGACTGGTCCATTTTTAACAATTTATACATATAATGACAATCACAATAATAACTTAACTTGTTTTTTATGAAATATATTTGCGTTTCAAGTCACTTTTTTTTTATTATCTAGGAATCAGTTGAATAAAGCGAACTGTCCAAGAATACTAAGTGGCAGAATATTATAACGAAAAAAGGGACTAAATAAATATAAGAGAACGCAACCTATATGTACACAAAATTCTCATAGTGCGAACATAATAACAAAAGTGTTTATTAGTGTGACTCAGACACTAGGAGTAAAAAACAATACACTTAAAACGGATAAAATAAGCAAAAAGCTAACTTACAAATAAACTTCGTTTGTGGTACGACAAAGAACTTTATAAGGTCGTTCAGAATCGCCTGAATGAGCTTGAATTACACAATCACCCCAGTATTCATTATCATCTTTTATTTCAGCGCTGACCTATGGTGAAGAAAATGGTGGTCTAACATAGGTTCATAGTTTTAATGCAAAACAACCATCTGCACAACCCCTTACTGACAAGGATGAAATTTTAGTAGGTTATGATTTAGCAAGGAACGATACACACTTTTCCCAAAGGTGAAAATAACCGATCCGACTCGGTCAATAAGTATAGTATACAGTGCAGGCTATGTTTCAAAAGATTACGAGTCCACTTAAATCTGCGAACAGAGTGAGGACTCATGAACACAGTGAACAAATAAGCTAACTATTCCGACGCGTCCCAGCCACATTAAGTAGAGAGAGAAGTCCAGGTTCAGAAGAGGGAAAATGTATTCCAAAAGCAGTCAGAAGCACTAACAACAACAACAAGCACAACTCAAGTGTATATATCCAGCATAAGAATGTCCTTGGGAAATGTTACAAAATAGATCAATAAGCCAGAATTCAGCGGCGTTTATGTTCGTCTTCAATCTATTAACGAGATTGCGCAACCATCTTATATTGTTATCGGAGAGCGACTGCTTCACAATCGACATGGTTGGTCATAGGAAGTTAAAGTACTTTCCAAGATCCTAAACTGTTTGTTTCAACAACAATAAACACCAAGTCCAACTTCTAATAAATAAGAAGTTCCTTTAAGTTAGACTTGAAAATTTTTCACTCAGATTCATTTTCAGATGGTCAACTGATATAAAATCTGGTGACATTTCTGAAGTAACATTGATTATGATTGACTTTCTCACTTCAAACAATAAGTTTCGAGGTTAAGTACTAACAGAGATGATTTCGATCTCAATATATATCCTTACGTTAAGAATAATAATCAATTTACATAGTGTTTTTTATTAAATAAATTTCAAAACATTTAATAAAGCATTTTATTATAGTGATTGACATCTCACACTACATGGTAATAAAGAAGAAGCTGATTTAAAAAGATTGTTTAACTATAAAGATTAACAGTGAGGTAATCATGCTTTGTAAACCTACGAAACGCGCTTAGTACAATAATTTAGGAATATGTCAGTTTGTAGGAATCAGAGCATCCCAAGATAGTTTTTAAAACTTTCAAGACCCCAACCAATTACAAGAAAACATGAAGTATGGGGAAAATAGGTATTGGTTCAAGATGACGTATCTCATAATCACCCCAATGAGAAACAAACAAGAGGAAATGGTAAGAACAAATGCACTAAAAAACTAGACAAAAAATATTATTCCAAAAATTCAATTATTTGAAATAAAAAATAAGAAATGAAATTTAGCTCAACACCTGGAATAGTTTTGCAGGGATAATGTTTGAGATTCGTGCTTAATAATTAACATTATCTCTCGGACCTCTATAACATAAAGTCTGGGTCTTCTTAGACGGCTATATCCACCATCCAAATGGCTTTATTCAAAAGAATGTATGAGTGCAGACATCAACATAATATGATTGATGAAACCCACAAGATAAGTGGTTAGCATGCAAATCTACAGTACTTCCTATTATTAAACTACGTAGGGTCTTAGTACATAAAGTAATTTGTAACTAGTGAACTGCATTACTATTACTTTCATAATGTAGTGCATGTTCAATGAAAGTAAAAGAGTTCATTTCTCAGAAACATGATTTGACCCTTCTGCTAAAATTTCTAACAGTTTTGAAATAAAGCCTCAGTACTTTGTAATAAATACCTTTATGCTAGTTCTTTGTTAAAATAAACAACATATATTTCCTAATTTGACTGATCATACTGTTGCAATTTTTACATCTCCAGTAAAATGTAGATAAACAAGTGCTCACACTAGAGTATGAATGAGCAACAAATATATGATCCAGAAGGAGCAAGCATTTTCGGTCCGCTTCGATGACTGCTGACAGTGTTATTGTCCATAGGTGTCCATCAGCTAACGTTAATGAGGATTGTCAGGTCACCCAGTACTTATTTTTATGGTCAACGTTCCTCCCTGCTACGAATAAACAACTGTTTGGACAGAGTTGTAGCAAGAAAGCAAAGCCGAATTCCGGTCAAATAGCTGACTAAGTTAATATTGATGAGATGTAAATCTTAAAAGAAACAACTCCCAAGTTTCAATAAAACTAATTTTTTAATGAAGAATCACTATCGTAAATCTTGACTAAACAAAATATATTAGGGCTACTATTATTGAATGGATATTTTGAAAAAAATCAGACTAGAGAAAAGAGAATAAAAGGTTGTGAAAGATACATTAAATCAGTAGTTGTGCATACGTGTCTTCAGATTTCCGAATGCTAATTAAAACAGGATGACAACTTTAAGCTAACTAACCTCAGCTCCGACAGGTAGTAAATATACTACAACCAGATCAGACTGTTTGATTCGTGCTCTTGTCCCATCTTCGAAAATAACAAAACATCTGTATGAAACAATTCAGAGAGAAAACAAACCAATATTTACGGTGAAAAACATTTACGGAAACAACATCGATGCAATTAATTTTGCACTATCTGTTTTAGGCAATCTAAGAAGAGAAAGCTTGATAAGTGAAGTATAATTCAAATAAATCATGCGATGCCTGAAAATTGAATGTCAAAACCAAAAGATTACAGAGTCACAACTATCAAGTTTAATGAACTTACTAACTGCTTAATGTAAAACAGTATATGAATCAAAGGAGTGACGAGATAAATCCTAATGGAATACGCATGAATTCTTATGTTTTGTTTCGAGCAACACATTGGTGATAAAATTCAGCTAAGGAAAATGAAATGAATCGGGAATTGAATAAGAGAACAAATGGAAAATTAAGTACCAAAGCGATTTGATACAATACCAAACGCTATATATATATATATATATATATATATATATATATATATATATATATATATATATATATATATATATATATATATATATATATATATATATTGAAGACTATTATTGAGGCTTCTATTCTAATTTGAAGTTCTTTTGTGATTATTGCTCGTTGGTACTAATGACCAACCAACCTATTTAAAAGAAAGTGAATATTCCCAAAAAACACTGTATATTTTGTAGTAAAAGAAAGGGGAAATCGTTACCTACAATGAAATGAAACATTTTACCTGGTGCCAGATTCATTAGGATATATTTTACCGGCATAATAATTCTTTTCTGTTTTCCATTTGCCGTAAACCCACTGTTCCCCTATGTTAAAAAGAATTTGAAGAAAAAAGAGAAAAACAAACACCGTGGAATGATTTTCAATTTTTATGAAAAAGAAAACCTCTTCGAATTATAAACCTATTGCTACAATGCTGTATTTAAAATGGAAACAAAATCCACATAACAATTATCATTAATCGTGTTATTCGGAATAATAATACTTTATGGAAACAAATGGGAAACTGACAAATCGAATTGATGAACATTGATCTGATTAAGTACAGGTTAGTAAATATACAGAATATGTAAACATCCAAAGTTCAGGGAAGTGGAAAAAATCATGGTAAAATTACACTGGTACAAAAGACACTAAGCTATGTTAACCCGTACTAACCAAATGCTGACTACGGTATCATAAAGATGTCCATTGAAAAATTAACGAATAACTTGGATCCCATTAGAAAAACACATGAGAGCCTTAATTCTAATACCTGTACAAGATATTGCACTGATTATGGCTGGTGAAACTTTGACAACTAAAAAAGCATAGTAATTTGTGAGATGATTTTTTATAACTTAAAAGGATTGAGCTAAGAGACTTATAATAATAATATATTTCAAATTCAAAAGCAAAATATACCAGAATACAAAAAGAATCCAATTAGAATCACCAATATCAGCATTAATTGCAGAACCAGTAATAAAAAGGCTCGAAACTTTGTCTTGCCAATGAACAAGCTGAAAATCTGGTTCCACTATGTAGACAACGAACTTGTTATCAACATAAAGGATTAACCGGAAAGTATTTACGATTTAACCAATAGCGTCTTCTACGACACAGATTCTATGCGAGAAACAGAATCATGCAGCAAACAACATTTCGATGATGTAATGATCACAAGAAGCAGGGTAATATCGGAAGACATGGAACTCAAGTATTTTAGAAGCGCACCTATACTCCCTGAAACCTTAGTTAAAGCAGAGAAAACGTAATGGTTCATAAATTAGGCCGTGTACAAACTTTTTTCAAAAGAGAGAATTCACAATAAATCCATATCAAAATCATCAGAAAGAAGTAACTCAACGGAGATTAAAAAACATTCATAATGGGTACAGGTCAAATCCTTGAAAGATCGCTGTAATCAGTAAGATGCAAATCGAAGGATACCACGACAAAAGACAAGAAAATAACGACTTCGAGAAACACTACATCGAACAAAGTTCCCACCTTCTCTGTCTGCTCCTACGTCCAAGTTCGCTACGTGTTAAACGTCACACGTGTTCGCTTACATCAATGCTTGAGGAAAATTATTGACATGAATTCGACAAAAAAATGTCAAAATGACGGAAAGAAAAATGGAAAATAAAACTTATAGGAGGCTGACACTCAACTCATCAATCAACATACTACTAGATGAAATAAAACAGACCCGACCTAACAATCGATATGAAAAATGATAAACAATTGAAAGATCAGATATTAAACCAAAGGAACAAAATCAATATCTAAACAACAATAATAAATTATGGACAACAACCTATCAAATATCATGTAGATAGAGCAAGCTGATAATCAGTTGTGGAGAAATTCTAATTGTTTAGTTATTCTTAAGACATACCTGTTGTATCCTAGTGAAAACATAAGTGAAGGTAACTTCTGGGATCTATTATTTGACTATTATTATTCTATATGTATTCCTATTCAGCGATTATATAAGAACTCTCGTCTAAATTAGAACGAAAAGTTTGACAGTATTTGAGCGCCGAGTTGATGTAAGACATAAATTAGGAATAATATATTTGTAAAATCTCAGCGAATGAATTTGTAGTAAATCCAACGTTTCGCCTGGCAATCTGGTCCAATCATTAGAATTTTTTATTCCATATTTGATTAAGCTTTCATATGATTTTAAAGATGTTATCTCTAATATTCACATAGAAGATGAAATAATGGCAATTTTGATGTATGCTCATTATTCACTAATGTTCCAATTGAGAAAACTTTAGATATTGTATATAATCTCTTAGATTCTGACATTGATCTTAAACAACGCTGTCCTCTAGTTACCTCGGATATTATTAAAGCGTTAGATCTATGTTTACATTCAACTGTATTCAATTTTCGAGGGGATTTAGACAGACAACCAGAAGATGTAGCTATGGGATCACCGGTTTCCCCAAATGTTGCTAACCTTTTTATGCATTCATTGGAAACTAGTGCCATCTCAATGTGTTCTCATGCACCAAAAGTATGGTTAAGATATTTTGATGACACTTTTGTCATTATAAAAACGAGATCATTCGGACGAACTGTTTAAACTTGTCAACAACATTGATGGAAAAATCAAGTTCACCAAGGAGTTGGAATCTCCTGAACACAAATTACCTTTCCTAGACTGTTTAGTTGAAAGGAAAGATTGTGATAGTTTAAAAATTAGTATATTCCGAAAGCCGACAAATTCAGGAAAATTTCTAGATTTTAAATCGGCACATCCACACTCGACCAAAGTGACAGTGGTCAAAAATATGATTACAAGAGCTCAAAAACTTGTCACTGAACCAAACGATATGAAAAAGGAAATAAATTTAATTACATCTACCCTAATGATGAACAATTATCCGAAAGATTTTATTAAAAGAATAATTAAGAATGGAAGAAAAGATGGCATTGATAATACAAAAAGATTACAGAAAAAGGAATGGGTTAACACAGTGATGATCCCATATCGGAAAGGTGTTTCAGAAGATATTAGAAGAATCTTAAATAATCAAAATATAAGAGTATTTTTTCGAACAAACAATACTCTAAGATCAAAACTAGTAAGAATTAAAGATCCAATTCACAAAGAAGAACAACAAAATTGTGTCTATGGAATCAGATGTAGTCACTGTAATGCAACGTATGTAGGTGAAACATCAAGACAACTGAATGGGAGGGTGAAGGAACACAAACAATGCTTGAAACACATTCCTAAATCCTCAGATGATGTAAGGAAACTGGAGAAGAAATCAGCGATAGCATTACACTCGATAGAATCGGGTCATACAATTAATTTCGTTCACACAAAAATCCTTCAAAAGGATTTCAATTCTTACAAGGAAAGGCAGACAGCTGAAGCCCTATACATTTGGGATACAATTAGCAGTGCCATGACAGCTAATCATTAATAAGTAAAAACCTGAACTCCTTACCGTTTTTTATCTATCTCGTATTATCTAAATGACAACAATTGCATTCAATGATTCTAATCAGTTGTCTTATCGGAATTTGTTAAACAATTAACTGGAACATTAAAAATGACACATACATTTAGTTTCAAATTACATTCTTCCTCCTCGAATTTCACTCTTTTATTCTTATTTTCACAGTTGAAATCATGAGTCAATTGAAGCTAGACCACCATCGAAAACCTGGAAGCACTGGACGGCCGTTTCGTCCTATTATGGGACTCCTCAGCAGTGCGCATCCACGAACCCGCTCTCGCGAGCGAGATTCGAACCCAGGACCTACCAGTCTCGAGCCGAAGCCCTTAACCGATAGACCACTGAGCTGGCATCCAACGGTGTTAATGTCTAACTTCAACCAATTGTCCTCAGTGAGATGATATCTCTACAACAAACCTGGTAGAACTCCACTGGCCACTGCTTCCCACTAGAACTCAAGGAAATATCTCTTGAAGTCAGTCACTAGTGAGCATATGATTATAGATCAGAGGGGGTTTTGTGGAGAATTTAGTATTTTCACAGTTGAAATCATGAGTCAATTGAAGCTAGACCACCATCGAAAACCTGGAAGCACTGGACGGCCGTTTTGTCCTATTATGGGACTCATGATTTCAACTGTGAAAATACTAAAATCTCCACAAAACCCCCTCTGATCTATTCTTATTTTGTTTAATTATCTTCATTTTACATATACATGCTGTGACATATATGATTCATATCATATATTACAAATTGTACGTTTTTCTTATAAATTCACCGATAAGAGACAATATATAGTGTGAATGAAATTTCTCCTCTCACCACTTACGTTTCTATACAATATGTTATATTAACACTTATCATTTCACATCACAAATTTCTTACACACTAATACATATACCTAGGTTAGGCGTTTTTAACGTTGATTGGATGATCTATTCAGTGTACAATGAAACGAAGAACCATGTACCTATTTATATTCGATAATTTAGATGTTTGATTATAATTCCTTGAAAAAGCTTGGACCAGATTGCCAGGCGAAACGTTGGATTTACTACAAATTCATTCGCTGAGATTTTACAAATATATTATTCTTATTTAGTGATTAGATTGTATGTATCTATATTCATCGTATTATAAGCTTCATTTCGACCAATAGATTATTATTATGCCATTTTTAATATTTGAGATCATGAATCAACCACTTCTGATATTGTTATACAGTTTACTGTCCCCAAATTATGTTTAGTTTATTGATTACTGTCTCCCACATTCACAGCCACATTTCGTTTGATCTTGTACAAATACTACTTTCTATTTTATAGTGTGATGCGGTCTGTTTGTCTGGTATATAAACCAAGTATGCTTGAAATAAATGATTTGCATAGCAGTAGCTGTAACTGGTGTTCTGGACTAAACTGGAAGGGCTAGGCGGACAAATGACCAATAAGGACGCTAGACTGCTCCTACCGGTCGAATGTCATTGGTTTGGCACAGTGCTAAAATTAGACAAGTCGTATTTCGATTGGTGAATAAATCACGTAACAAAAAGCCGGGCATAAAATCACAACAAATTGTCGACAGCCTTTTAAATTCACAACAATACCCTTATGATTCTGTCTAGAAAAACATTATCAGCTTCGTGACTAAATCATCCGGCTCGCGAAACGTAACTAAAAAACGTAGATGTTAGAGGTAGCAATTTTCAGCGAAAACAATGATTCCTAACAATTTTAGTTACTTTTCAGTTACTAACATTGTACTATACACACTGCCAACAGCATTACCTTTACATTTCAAAAAAAAATAGTGATACACTTCATCGCATGCAAATTCGTGCTGAATTACTGCATTGCCTTGAATTAATCCTCATTACGAAAAACTAAACGAAGTTAATGAAAATCTATAAGGCAATGTAGAACCTGAAAACTACATACTGGCTCAAGTTGCTACACCACATTAGCATAGCGAGATAAAATTACCAAGGCGAATCCCAGATCAGTAGATGTGGTAACAGTATCAATAGTGGTAGGAAACATTAGGTGAAGAACATAAACAAAAGCGTATCAGGAGATTAAGGATCTAAGGGAAGATAAAAAGTGAACGCACGTGAACTCTTGCAGATGATTCTGAGCGATATCGCCCAAATTTTCTAACTATTGGTTACGACAGTTGCGCAAAGCTCAACCAGGTAATTTGTACATACTTACATGTCTCACAGTCTAACTGTCAATGACTTCATGGAAAAGTTATAGAATTCAGTTCACATGAAATGTACTAGTTTGATGCTACTTTTCTACATCTTTCCTAGGCGTCTAAGAAAGACTAACTTCTCAAAAATATTTCTTTAACCAACAGCTGACTGACACACTCACCAACTTTTGAAACGGTAAACAGTAACAAATTCTTGTTACGTCAAAATGTTGATTGCATAAAAATGAATGGGAATAGTATGTCCCAAAATCGATTATATATATATCATTATACGCCTTCTAATTGAGATAGCAACACTTTCAGTAAGTCTGCAAATAAATTATCATTATTTAAGAACTGTATTATAAGTGTAGTGAATAGAGCATAGAAATGGTAAATGTTGATCCAAAAAGATAAAAACTACGGTTACAAAGAATATCAAAAGCTGGAAAAAAACATACCTGGAGTTAATTTAGTCGACGTGAGAGTAATATCTTCATTATCTGTAACAGACGTTTTTATCGTCGACGTTGTGGTACTAGGGGAATCCGATATCAAATCTGTATCGGTCTGCTTGACAAATTGATTTGTTTCAGTACTAGAGAAAATGCGATTTCAAAGAAAATTTTTATGAATAAACTAGTTGGGAAAAAAAGCACTACATTCTGTTGCAAGTAACAGAACAATCGAGCCGATTAACATCTCAGTATACTTGGTTGAAAAATCAAATTCCCATTCTGAAATGTCTTTTATTAAAGATGGTGAATTTCAACTTTGATGGCTTATACAATGTTATGAATATTTCTGATATAAATGAACTTTAAAGGGGAATAATGCAAAACTGAAAATCTTTATTTCTTATAAAAATATTTTAGTCAGAGAAACCTGTTCAAGAAAAAGGAACTTCTTCGAAATATACAACGACTATTTGAAAATACTTTCTAATAAATTATAAATTTCGTTCCAGAATACCACTTGAACAGAACCCATACATCAAGTACGAGGCACACATTAGGTGAGCATCAGCTAAACTAGCCAGTTGATAAGACCAAAAGACGTGCGACGGAGATAAACGCAGCAAGCTAATGGATGAAAGACAAGTAGTTTAACCACCAAGTCACCATTATGCATCCATTTGAATAAATAACACGTATACAAGACATATAAAAACTTATATTTGGATTATACGATAATTATCGTTTTATATGATTTGTAACTGAAATGTGGTAGTAAAGGTATCTGTGATTGGTCACTAAGTGCGGAAAACAGGACTATTAAATATGTGATTTCCTTTTCGCCTATTGATTTCTACTCCGGTCCCACAGAGAGTGCTTGTAACTGTGTAGAATAAAGTATTGTTTAGAATTTACTTTGGTTCGCTATTCTTGATCGTGAATTGTGTATCTGATACGACGTGATCTAGTCTATATTGTGCACCCTTAGAACATCCAATCAAGCAATATTATAAACTTCGTCACCCAGACAAGTTTTATTACCACATATTTGTATTGGCATGGTATACCGCAGAGAGATGAAAGATACTTTAAACCATCTGACTGTCTATTTGATGGTAATCCTCAGTGTTTGTAAACCAGAGGTTTGAGATTTTTAAGAGGAAAATAACTATTAATATGTTCTTCAATCGATGGTATCTATGACTGATAAGTTCGCAGTTCTTCACGATATATTTGTCCCTAATTAGTCGAGGCACATAAGCAACACTTGTTTTATAAATGTCTTTTTGGCAATTAAGATATTATATAATACCAACAGTAACATCTGCAGCTGATTAAAATAACAACTTCGTAACGTCCCAATCTATAGCAATTGTAAGATACACAATGGTTTTGTAAATATATACAAAATATATTTCATTTTACATAGGAATTCTTACTTAGTATAATGAGGTGACTCGTTGGTTGTATCCTCAGAAGGTGTTTCATTTACCAGGGTTAATGAGGAACGATGAGTGAAATCTGTTGCAATAAAAATAAATAAACAGATAATATGGTTAACATATGACGAATAGGGTTATGTACTGTTAACGGATTATGTATAATTTTATGTTACATGAATTCGTCCCTGGTCGAACACAACGATCTTATCACCAATAAATTCCAATAAAATAATAATAGAGTGAAAATCGAACCAACTATAAAATATTAATATATCGGATACAATCTAACTCAACTCAATTGAAAAATACTACAGTCAGGTGAAAAATAGGTAACGTCAATGTATCGATACTAAATACAAAAGAGATTGGAGGGAAGGTAGGAGTAACAAAACCAAAACGAAGCACCAATTCATGAGGTAATCGAATATTAGATTAAGGCATATTGGTAGGGAACAAGGTACCTGGTTTAAATCCGCGTGATCATCGTGACCAATGGTTGGTGACTTTGGGTGAAACGTCCCAGAGTCAGTCGCATTGGCTTAGATACATTCACTCCGTCTTCTATTAGATCCTGAGTCTCAAAACTATATTATATTTTTCACTTTGTGAATTCATTTTTTTCTTGAGTTATACTACCTATGCCTGATCCTCCTCCTCTTACTATGACAATTGTCTTGATAATTTCATTTCTCTCTATTTATATAGAACAACTGCTTTAGGTTACAGGGTTTGACGTTGCACATGACTGGCTGAAAAATTGGGACTGAGTAAAAGGTTAGAAGATATCAAGAACTATTACAACTATTTACAATTATAGCAATTATTAGTCATCTGCCTAACGAAACAATACGTGTGGCTAGAAGATTTCCAAAAATAAACAATCTAGATTTTATTTCTAGTGGAAACTTACCATGTGTCGATTTGTTGTTCGAACTAAAAGATGAAGGAAGTAAACTTAAGCGGAGCAAGTTAGACTCCGCTGATTTTTGTGCAGCGTTTAACGTGGTAGATGATTCGCACTCTCGTTCATCCTTTAGTTCACGAATGCGCTTTAAAATATATGAAAAGATGGGTACATTTCAAAGTACCATTATTTTTAGCACTGACGTAAGGAAAACAGTAAGCAGAATAGAAATACATGTGTGAAATTAAGGTTTATCACCATAGAAATTTAAATTCCAACCAGTAGATAACACGTTCACAGGACAAATTATACACAAAGACTCAGGACACAAGTATTAATATTTCTGGGTCATACAAAATACGTGTCGTTCATGTCCTATTACAAAAAAACTGTAGTGGAATGATGATAAGCATAATTTTGATGTGTAAGAACGAAGACCGAAGAAATGGCAACTCTTTGAACTATCTAGTGTATTATTACTATGTATACCTTTGTTACATAACTACTAAATGTCTGGACTACTGTTTCTTTATTCGATTTATTGTAAGCATCCGTTTGACCCATTACCACTTCTATATGTCTGATTATTCCTGATTTATTCTTGACCGATTACTTACAGCTTGTCAGTTTGGGCCTGTTTATGTATAACTATGATTTCCGACTATATGGTGTGGTATGGTCCAGTATTCCTGTATATAAATCCACGTATGCTTAGAGTAAATATAACAGAGAATTTACTGTAGTTTTCCCTCTCAGACATATATAAATATAGTTCACTCTATATTAGATATTTTGGTAACTGTTTGTTTGATGTCTTTTATTAGTACACAGGTTAGATTTTTATAAATTAATATTAACTCACGAAATATAGATTCCTGTACTAGACTTCGAGCCACACTCTAAGTGCGATGTCTAGTGATATTACGTGGTTGCTCGAACCAAGCTAGGTAAAGCGGCTTTGGAACCTGCAAATTAGTGGGTAAAAGTTGAGCATCTTAACCAGAGAGCGATCTCCCAGAATTTAATTAGTCAATTTCTATTTATTTAGATCAAATGATTAGTCTCTCAAGACCAAGGAAAATAACTCTATATGACCCTTCAAGTAGATCAGCGTCATATAGTATTACCAAACTTAATGTTCAAAAATCGGGAAATGAATGCAAGCAACAACGAGAAATGGATGAAAATCACTGCACAGACAAGTCAATAGTAATATGGTAGTACAATTATCTACTTGTACTAGGGAAAATATGAGAAAATCAGTACGAAAAATTGTAAGCAGTTGCAGTCTTAACACATCGATGAGAAGATTCAAACAAGCAATACTAAATGAATTTAAACTTCACCCCATCGCACAAGCAAGTGGCTATCAGGACTCAATGGCCGAGTGGATAACGCTATGGTGTTTGAAGAGAAAGGTACTGGGTTCGAGCCCCAGAGTGAACACCAACAAATCTGAGATACAGGTACATCCAGCTGACGAGTTCCGAATAGGACGAAACGCGCGTCAAACTGGATTCCACTGCTAGCCACTATCCATCTTTGCTTACAATGCTTGTGAATTGACGCTATATCGAGGCAATACGCACAGTATGCACATATGCCAATTAGAGACTGACCAGTTGCAGTCCTAACACATCGATGGGAAGATTCAAACAAACAATACTAAATGAATTTAGTACGAAAATGTTTATAAAATCCGTATACGTGAACAAGGTATCCTACTTTATTTGCTGAACGAGGAATAAAAAGATCCGAACTTGATGATGATGTTGTACTGGCACGGACTGGACATTTAGCTCCAACGAATTCTCCAACGCTTAACTATGGAAACAAAAAATTTAGGAAGGTTATATATACATGTATGGAGTGAGATGGAAATACGAAATTTAGATACTAGTTGGTTCTTCAGTTCAGATCCAGTGTTAAACGTTGTGTTTGTTAATTTTCGTACTTACACTTTATTAGAAAATAAGACTGGCAAGAAACGGCAACAAATGAAGTTGGTAGTTTCAAAGTTAAAATCAGTAGAAACTAACAATACTGGTTTTTTACAAGATCAAGTATAAGGGGTTTGGAATTTAAAATGAATGCACTACTGTCAAATTACTGAGTTACAACGAAAAGGCTAAGTAGAGAGAAAATGAAACGCGTCGTTTTTTTGGTTGTAGGTTGAATTTTTAAACTAACGAGTCTCAGACCCACAAAACTTTGGCGTATTTAACTAAAAGATCCTAAAGATCAGAAATTTAAAATAATTCAAAAACCTTTGGACAGAAATATAAAAGGCCAGTGGTTGCTGAATGATTTTCTTTGTCATTATTCATAAGTACGAGAAGATAACCACACAAAATACAAAGAATTTATAGAAGACAGCCAGATTTATTGGGCAGAAGCACACAAACCCAGTAATTATATAAAAAAGTTTTCATTAGAAATTAAAGACAATGGGGTGCATCACTACATACAATGAAAAATCATAGAAAAAAAAGTAACGACTTGAATGTAAATCAGAAAAGTCATACCAAACTAGTAATTTTCAGGCACATACTGCTTTTAGATGGCGATTTTTATACCCGTTACATACAGACAGATAGAAGATGAAATATTCCTGCCAGGAAATTCCTAATCCGAGCAACAGATATCTATAATTAATTGATAACTAATGTTCAGATAGATAGATGAAAAAGAAACATCGATGACTAGACCAAAGAAGCTTCGGAATTTAGAATCAAATATGATATATAAAAAAAGTTCAATTATGAAATTCGCTTTATTTTATGAATCATTGTGGGTTTCCAAACTAAACAAAAGTTTATCAGGGTATGAAGTAAAACCATAGTACAAATTCCAATATGATATATAATTTTATAAAGTATTTCGTCAGATTAGCAATTCTTACTTTATTCTTTGGGCGAGGTATAAAGAGTTCAGAACCAGAAGATGATGTACGACCTGGTGATTTAAATAGTCCATGATTATCATTACACTGATTGTCATCTGCCTGACATTATAAAAGAAATGTGACAAAATTTTTAACAAATACTCTGCTGCTAGTAATTTTTGTTAGATAAAATATGGACGCTATTCTAAATCCAGTCGTGTTTTTTAGACCAATGTCTAAAAATGATTTAAAAGCCCTGAAAATGCCATACTTTGGAATATTCCATGGATTTCATATTGTTAACTTTAGTAGTTGTTATGGCAAACCAATACTGCTTTCCTTTATTTGTGATTTTGCAGTCTATGGTAAGTATAAAATTGTCTCACAACTCACAAATAAATTTTGCAAATAGATGGAATGATGTGGAAATCTATACAGAAGTGAACTGGCTAAAAACTATCACTCTTCGGAACAAAAAAGAAAATTGGAAGAAATGGGGAAGTCGTTCAGTGATAACGTCTTGGAGATTTTACTCACGTAATTTTACGGATAAACCCGATACCTTAAGTTGACTACCGTTAATATTTTAGAACGAATATGATCTCATTCGTGATAGGGTTTTTGAACAACTTATTGACTGATATCTTTATTATATATCTTCTCCCACCTTACTATGCACAACGTAAGAACACAAAATAACTTTATAGATATTTTTTGAAAGTCCGAGGATATCCTAACTGCACTGAAGTAACAACAACGTTGATCAGATATTTTAAAAATATCTACCACATCGTTATTGTTCATTTGTACAGGCTAGAGAATTCGCTCATATTCATTTTTTAGCGATTGATGTCATCTTTGTTGTAGGGACAACCTACAATTTTACACAATAATCCTCTTATAACAAAATTATTTTTTTGTGTTCTATTTTTCTTTGATAGTCATAAAAGTGAGTCCATCAACATGTACTCATAATATAACACTAGGTTCAAGATTTATGAGATGGGAAAAAGCCTCATACATATGTTCTAAACAAGGTTGAATTTAGCGAGGGTTAATTTTTACTAGACAGTCTCCCTAAAAAATGGAGGTTTCACCACCACGTAATTTATTTATTTATTTAAACACATACATATTGGTACAAAGGGGCACCAGATATATATGCGCCACACACCACCACGTAAACATTTGTACCGATTATTTACTATATTCAAAACGACTTTTTAATGATATTTCAGATCGAAATCCTTAAACCACTTGTTACTTATTCACATATTGAAACAGGTATATGCCAGTGACTATCTGAACTTGGTAGCTGAGTGGATAACGCAATTGAGTGGGAAGCGAACGGTACTGAACTGAGTCTCGTGGTAAAGAATAACTCTGGGGTCCACATACATCCGGATGACGAGTGGGGAATATCTTATTATCAACATAATTTTTATCACTTGATTTTAATGCTCATTTGCCCAAACTTGACATACTTTCTACGTCGAAATATTGACTAGAGCTTTTGTTAATTTATTATTCCTATTACTAGTACACCTATTTTCTAACTAACAATTAGCACGTTTTACGCATTATGTTCAGTCATACAATGTATTTCATTGTGATCACAGACTTATTAATTGCCTTGATTGGTCTGGTGTTTTCAAACTAATATTCATGTATATTAGAGTAAAGCCTGATGACGATCTAACTGAAAACAAAATTGTTAGCTTATTTATTGTTCTAGTTTTCAAGCTGGGGAATTTAGATATTCTACCCACAAAAGGTGTTACATACAAAATTTTGAAGTCTGACAGAGTATGAAAAACAAGTATCCATAACATGTTAAAAATGAGAAGTACTAGAATGAACTCGGAAAGTCCATAGTTATCATAAACCTTAAGTGAACATCTTTTCCTCAAAAATAAAATTAGAAACTAACAACAAGAATGAGAAATAATAATAATGAGGATATTTCAGGTGACTTTTCCATACTTTTCGTTGAATAGAGTCTGAATTTGATACGGATATACTGGTTGAACTGAAAAGTGATTTTGAGCTCAAAACATTTGCGTTAGATGAGTCAGTTGTCGGGGGTGATGTTGATAATATTGAATCACTTGTTGATTTAGCCTGGATCTTTGACGGGAAATTAAAAAAATCGCATTTTTATGAAATTTAACATTCGGTAAAGGAACGACAGAACTTTACAAAAAATTATCACATGAACTAAATGCACAAAGTTAGTAAACTGGAGAAGTTCAGGATGTAAAAAGCCAAACTGTCAATATGATACAACTTGATGTAAATAAACTTCACATAAATGTTAGGGGGACCTTAAGTTAAAGTATTCGTTATTAAGTGTTAGTTTTTTTCTTAACAGGGTAGCTTTGATGATATTTTTCTACTTTATATTTCTGTAATCAATCTGGTTGGCTGCTGTAATTCTGGGTTTATATGTTTTGACGTCCCAGAGTCTCTGGGTTTTACCACATAAACAGAGTTGTTCGATTTGAATTTTGAATCTGTTAGAAATATAAAGCCGCAAGATCATATCAACGACAACTCTGAGTGGCTTATCAGCCAATCATAATCCTATTTTGAACTTGGTTAAAGTTAGTTGAGTTTACTTTGGTATTACTTCATAACCATCCATAAATTAAGGTCCCGCCTAAAAAGTAATACAATCTAAGTAAACGACAAATAATCTTAACATGACTAATAAACGAGAAAAGCAGTCAACGTAAGGAATACAGTCGGATGACCTTGGGGTTCGGTTCTAACTGCTTTTAGCCAGTCAGGAAGCTCAAAAGATAAATGAATGGATTATCATTCTAGGATATAGATTTTGGTATCCTTGTACTATGGCTGGTGTCAGCTTGTGATAAAGACTCTAACACTAACTCCTAATGTTCAGCACTATTTTCTAACCCTCTGCTGATCTAAGGAGAATAATCTAATATGTCATTCAGATCTACACATAATGTAAATTTCGCCTTAAACAATTAACAAGATTTTACTAAATGAATGTCTTTTTCCCCTTCTCATATTCGATTATAACCCCCGATCCCGGTAGAACCAACTATCATTGAGCTATAGTTCGGATGGCTTTGAACGATTTCGATCTGGATAACTGACCAGTATGATTAACGCCATCACGCAAGTCTAAGTAAAAACTTGGGTGATTATCGATTTTTCAGTAGATTCTGTGAAACAATTTAGCATAAGAGTAACAATGTTTATTTCAAAAGTGAAACAATAAAATTAAGATATGCTTGCCTGATCAGTAATACAACTACTTGATTTCATCGAAACGCTCAGCTCGCCGATCAATTTCGCACTATTTATTTGCACCCACTTATAGGCAGCTTTGAGATTTGCATCATTCACCTAGAAAAAAAATTTCGTCATTATATGTTCAGATGGGGAAAACAGAGACGGAGAACTTCTAAGATTTTTAGCGAATAAACGGTATGTAAACTGAGAATAAATTTACAAAAACGAGTACAGTCAGATAAGCAGCACTTATGTAGTCTTGAGCATAAAAAACCTATTAATGGTTTTTATTTTATTTTATTTAAACACATAAATATTGGTACAAGGAAGCATCAGATACATATGCGCCATACAAATCTCATCCGATTTGCTTGAGGGCTGTGATACTGCCCGGGTGCCCAAACCGAAGCAGGTGGTTTTCTTAGGGGCCCACACCCGGAGCCTTTGACCGAAAGGTCTGATCCACAAGGCAGTGGAGCATCGTGAGGAGATGCAGTCCCATGGTAGCCGTTGACCAGCAGCAGGTTCATTCGCCATTCGTTCCATGAGGATCCTGGAGCCCATGTGAACCATTGGTTTGGAATCAGGGTTTTCCAACTCCCCTAGGTGGACCCTCCATGTCCACCAGCCCGGTTAAAGCGCCGGACATTCGCTCTTCGTCCTCTCACTTTCGTAAACAACACCCCCACCACGAGAAGGCAGTGAGTAGGACTTCCCTGGTAGAGGCTATATATTCGCTGGCCATGTGAGAGCATTTCGAGAGGGAGAGTGGGCTCTCCCCACTCTCGGCCATACCAGGGCATTTGGGGGCAATGGTAGTGTAAAATAATGTTTCTAGAACTACAATTATTAATTGTTAGTTTTCCCATAGTGTTAATAAACACAGGGCTTTATTTCAGCCTTCCGATGAGACACCGAGAAACTCTATGAATACAAGATAGCTCTCCGCAATAAGTTCTAAGCCTTACAACATCTACTTAAAGAAGAGAAAACCACTAAGAGGGACGACTATAAAGTAATCAAAAAAGCACTAACTTCAACGTGTTAGGAAATTCTGCATCATCATCGTCATCATAAGGAATGGATCTCTATGTAAACCCTGTACAGGATTCAATAAATGGAAATGGATGGAAAATTCAGTAGACTTCCAACTTCAAGATCAATAGACAGGATTTCGTAAGAATCGGTTGTGCACAGGCCGAATCGCTGTACTACGGATAATTATTAAATAATCATTGGAATGAAACCCATTACTACACATCAACTTCCTTAACTATGAAAAAGCGTTTAACTGTGTGAATAGAAGGACCTTATGGAACCTTCTTCGACACTGTGGAGTGAGTAGCAGAGCAAATCGTCAACATCATACGACGAACTACACTATAAAGGTGTGCACACAGGATAGCTGACAGATACATTCCAAGTGAGGACCGGCATCAGACAAGGCTGTTAATCTCACCTTCTCTCTTTCTTCTGGTGGTTGACTGGATTATGAAGACCTCCATATCTCAGAGAAGCAAGGAACACACTAGACAGTTTGGATGCAACAAGATGATTTGGACTTTGTACATGAACTAGCTCTTCTTCTATCCTATACACATCAAAAAATAGGTGAAGACGACCAGTGTATTAACAGCCTCTACAGCGATAGACCTTAACATACACAGGGGGAAAGCGGATCCTAAAATTCAACACGGAGAACCCCAAGCAAATCATACTTGCTGGAGAAGCACTGGAAGAGGTGGAAAGTTTCACGTACCTGAACAGCACCATCGATAAATAAAGAGGATCTAGTGGAGATGTCAGGGAGAGGAATTGTTTACCACTTATTTATTTGAACACACAAATATTGGTACAAAGGGGCACCAAATACATATGCGCCACACAAGTCACTTGATTTGTGTGTATGCTGTAATACTTCCCAGGTACCCAAATCTAATCAGTAGAGGATTGGCAAAACAAAGACAACACTCTTACAACTGAAGAACATATGGAACTCAAAACAACCGTCAATCAATATTAAAGTCACAATCTTCAATACGAACGTCAAGATAGTTCTACTGTACGGAGCTAAAACTTGGAGAACTACCACAACCATAATCAAAATGTACAAGTATTTATAAACAGTTGTCTATGTATGATACTCAATGTCTGTTGGCCGGATACCATCATGAACATCCTACAATGGGAGAACAAGCTAGTTTCCAACTGAAGAGGAAACTAGAAGACGTCGGAGTTGAATAGGACATACATTGAGGAAATCATCAGACTGCATCACGAGGTAGGCGCTGACTTGGAATCGTGAAGGTAAAAGGAAAAGAGGAAGACCAAGGAACAAATTGTGTCTGGGATTGGAGGTAGACATCAAAAGAATGAACAGCATCTGGGAAGGATTGTTTAGAATAGAGTTCGATGGATAATTCTGGTGGGTGGCCTATGTTTCTCCACAAAGGGTAACAAGCATAAGTAAGTAGACTCAATCATTTCAAAACGGCGTTAATATTAGTAAATCGATGAAAAATGGAACATCAACCGCGCGTTTAATGCTGTGAAATGATGTCATAATGTATCGTTACAGGAGTAGTATGCGGATAATGTTATTCTACTGAGCTGCACCACACAAGCTGCTCACATATCACATTATTATTCAGCAAAATAACAGTACGCAGATATGTATAGCATCCTACAATGTGTTATTTGAACTATTAGAGTACAAAACAATTCTTCAAAACTATTTCAACCCTATGACTACCACTGGTGATGAGGCCGAAAGTAATGCAGAAGCTCTTGTATTTGGGTTGTTTAGTGGGGAATGAAAGTGTGGTTGACCATAACTGATGTAAAGCAGACGAGGAGTATCTCCTGTAGAAATCAAAAAATAATGCGACCGTAAACGATTGGGTAAACAACAACCTGCTAAGTATAGACGCCTTCTAAACCTATCCTATCTGCCCTCTTTAATACGAAAATACAATCTTTCTAGTCATACCTGACACAGTGGAACTTAGAGAAGCAGATGATTAGCTACTTTACAGCAATCCAAAAGTTTAGGAAAAAGTTCGCTTATCTGACAATTTACAATTAGTAACAAAAAGAGAAAATAAGCAAACAAAAAGGAATCTACGCAAGTAAAAGACATGTTTCAGGAATCAAATGGTAAATAAGCATGAAGCACTCGAAGATAGAATGTCCATTGTGTGTTATTACAGTTGGATATCAATAGTAAGCAAAATGTGCATTAAGAGGAAAACAAGGTTACAACACTCACTTTAACATTAAAGCGATTGTCAAAAACGACTTTGTTTGTATTGTCCATTCGATAAACCACTGCAGATAAACTAACAGCTAAAATTGATTCTACAGATTCAGTAACTTCATTTTCCACTAGCTCTGATGTTTTCTTAGCTATTAGTTGTACATTTTTATTTTTCACTAAAGATATAATAGAAGTAGAATACTTATTTGATAATGAACATTTTGGACCAACTTAAACTATCAGATTCAGTAGGAGACGGATTCTCATGATCATGCATAACTGACAAATCACCTTCCTCACCACCACCATCGCTGCTATTTAAAATCGAAGCTGAATTTGGCAACCGCGCTAGTGAAGATGAACGCGACTCGAATCCAGACAAAAAAGGACTGTTACATGAATCGGCTAAAAATATGAAATAAACATGAACTCAAACTCCACTACATTTTTGTCGATTGTTTAAACATACTAAATCAAAATTTGTATTTTTCAGCATTTATGTTAGTCAAGGAAATACGTTAGTCGATGAACCTAAATTTTAATGGCTAGCGAAGAGAGAAGTAGCAATTTTAGAAGACTAGAAAAGACTATTTCTAAACAGGTTTGTTATAAAAAGATAACCATTTTAGAATTCGTGTTATTCATGAATTACAGGTCACATGCGAAAATGAAACACGGTATAATACCTTCCCGATCCACTGAATAAGTAAATATAAGGAACAGCACATCCATATTAGCAGGGGTAGTATAATTTTATTTAGCACTTTCGAAAACATCAACTGTATGAATTTTTGGCAAAACCCAACTTCAATCAGAAACAATAAGGCGCGTGCTATAGTTTGTTAAATTTTAAGAAATGAAAACTTGTAAATACAACAGTATCTTCGATTGTAGGCGCAGCCATGATCTAGTGGTTGAAATCCTTAACTACCAGCTCGTTAGTCCATGGCATCCATAAAAGACTGATGGTTAGTTAAATGATGACGCAACTAATATGGTTATTAGTTAAGTTTATATTAAGAATCCGTGAGCTTATAAATGAGACACAGCCCTAATATGAAAGCAAAAATAAAGACGGATCTTAGTGGATAAACACAACCGATCTTAGTCAAACAGCTCAAGAGAGACGTGCTATACATGTAGATGGCTATTGATGGCCTCCACCTATGTACAATTTTACTGTTGAAAATGAATTGTGCAGACAGTTATTTTGATTGATAAATTTAACAGATAAATGCAACAAAACTTCAACTGAAAAGCTATGAAAATCTATTATTTGGTTTGTCTAAATCGACCTCAGTACTCTAACTAAAGTGTGGATCTACATGAGCTAAATATTTATTAAATAAAATCTATAATGTACCCTAAATGTTAGTCATGTGACAAGTTCGGCTATAAAATCACTAGGCAGATACTGTAATGAATTTATAACTGCAAATAACATACCCGAATGGAACTCATTGATTTTATGAGCACTCAATGGTTCTGACAAGCGCATTGCTTGATTGGGGGCTTTGATGAATAGATTATCAGTATGGCCCAATGACTTCCTTATTCGGTTGTGCTTGATGTTTAAACATGAAAAAGTTCAGTGATAAAAATTTCCAAGAAACAATATAATATAAAAAGTCCATGATATTGCACGACTCCTATACATTGCCTGTGGTGGATAAATGTCTCACACCCGACATGCTTCAACTCTAACAATCACGGTTTCTCAACAGAACTTCAATTGTATTTTGAAGCTAGTCAATAGTGAGCACATGATTAATGTAAGTATGGGAGGATTTGTGGAGACTGTAATTTTCAGTTTAAGTCACGAACTGAACTTAATTAAACTGCTGTTTAAAACCCAGAACTACTGGAAGGCCATTTTGTACCAGTACGGTACAGCTCAACAATGCGCATCTAGAACCTGCTACACTCCACAAACTCACCTATAGTAGTATAAAAAATTAACGATTAGAAAACAATCCGTCTGGACAATGTGATGTATTCACTCCATACACTTCGAACAACCTGGTCACATATATTTATCGAGGTGCTTTATATGGAAACTAATAAAGGTTAATTGAATAAAAGTTCAAATAAACCTTAAAGAAAAATTATTATAAAGGAACAAGAGTTGTTATACCACCCAAGGTCGTAAAATACCCCGAAGATTACCAGAACAAATTTAAGGATACGACTAATAGTTTCTGTACACATAAACGAAGTTCAAATTTGCGAATAAATAAGGCTTCCATAGGCCTATGAATCCGTCCTTGACAATCTCCACACATCTTAGAAGCTGTATTGATGTCGACTGTATGCCTTGCTCTAATCGTGTTTCGCTGCTGATGAACATGTTTTCCTGTTTGAAACGTTTATTGGAGTATACGGAGTCATGGGTTCAGTTTTTTCAATTATAGTTACTCTACAAGTCGTTGGTTTACAGACAAATCAAGACCAACAAACACTGTATTCAACAAAAAATGAGCTGTAGGTTTTGTACTAAATGGTCACATTGCCAGATTATTTAAAAGATGAAGATACCCACACAGTAGGAATTTTATTATAAACATAAAAAAGTCAAGAGAAGTTCCACCCAATATATTTAAGTGGTATAGGAGTGTGAGTTAAGAATAACTTACTGTGGCAGATAGTTTGAGATCGTTAGTTAAAACACCTAAAGTGTGTTTCGAACAGGCTGAAATCATTTCTTATTATAAATTCAAACGAATTTACGTGTAAGTGAGTTGGAGATTGGACTGCAATCTAATCTCTTGAATTCGGACGGATCTGAATTCTCCTTTGATAGATCTCGAAAGTCTAAAAAGATGAAATAAAGTGAAAACAGTCACCATCTGCCTGTGTAAGACTTCTCTGGTTTTGTGTGGGGTTGGAAGGCTCAAAACTGCAGTCCGCAGATACCATAGTGTCAGATACATCAAAGGCTGGTGGGTTTTCAGTGCTAACATCACACTCTTGGGTACGAATATCACCAGGTTTGCATTCCGCTACGTGATAAGAAACTGGGGGTGGAGGATCAGATTCAGATGACGGTATAAAATTTGAGCTTTCGCAACCACATAATTCCGAGTCCGTAGAATCCATTTCGAAAAGACCGCAGCGGAACAAACGTTGTATCTTCGCTCACTTTTCCAAATGGTTCAATTAGTTCTGGACAAAATAAAAGTTTCCGCTTAACGGGCTCTCGTATCTGGTAGTAGTAGATTACTGCTGCCTCCAGATAGAAAACTAAGTATACTTAACCAAAAAAATAGATGTATGAACGGGGAAAACTGAGTTTTTGTAGTAATTCAAAGTACACTACGATTTGTTTCTTTGAAGGATACACAGACTTTGTTTTTCATCAGGCATCATCATCAGCTCCGTTTTGACAACTGCTTCTCTAAGTTAGTTCATTCCCGAGTCTGTTCAAATTGATATCCCACTTATTAATCATAGGATTTTAAGTATGTAGAGCATTTCCTACTAACACATATAGTATGGAGTAATAAAATGGTAGGGGAGAGTTTGTTAGATGGTGGCTGAAAATAAATTCCCAGAATAATTAGTCCTCCAAGTCTCCGATATTGTTGCAGAACTCACTCGTTTCACTGGACACAACCTACCTGAAGGCGCTTGGTCCACCGTCCACGCCAGTGCATGACCGGATGGACGGCGCTGAGCATATTTTACAACAACTAACCAGCCTAGATCATACATTTCTCAACGCGTCCACCAAATATGTCTTCAGACCCTTTCATTCGTGACTTTTGGTTTGAATGACTTTCGGATCATCGAATAAAAGTGTTACTGACATCAGTGTTGTCAAGTCCTAAATATTAGTGACATATTCAGTCTTAAAGTTAGTAGAGACAGATATGCTTTAGCAAAGCTGCACTAATCATATTAGGACACAGTCCTAATCATCAGCAAACTATTAGCGAGACAGCGCTAATACAAGTACTAGAACAAGACGATTCGAGTACAATCGTTATTCATAGCTTAAAAATGACTGAAGTAAGCAGTTTTTGTCAGATTTGAGTGTGATAATTTTACAGAGGCCTCAAACAACTTGACCGTGAAATAACCCGGATTTTATATCGTAGCGGTAAATAAATACGCAAAATCAATACCTCTGTAAGTCTTCGATATTTGATGCTGACCACATCAGCTATGATGGACTCATCCAGCTGAAGGCGCTCAGTCACGCAACCGCACCAGATCACGAATGAGTACACTGTGCTCAACTTCTCTTGCAACCGCTAGCCAGCTCAGATCAGTCACCTCTCGATATATTGATAGTCTATCAAATATACCTTCGATCCCCTTCGCTTCTGACTCCTGATTTCACTGGGTTGGCACGATTTGATTATAGATGTTACTGGTCAAGGTTTTGTCAAACTTCAAATACTTGTGGCATCCTCATTATCGTACATGTTCAGACCAGTACTTAACACCCATACTAATTCTAGTGAAACTAGTAAACGATATTCAAAGAATCTAAAGAGCAAGTACTAAGCCGGAAACAGAACGTTTAGATGTCAAATGAGGGACGGATTTGTCGTTTAAAGAGACAGAGCCCAACATCAGTAATCCAAATTCTCAACTACTTTCCTTCTAAGACTTCCCATTTTCTCGCAAATCACACTGGAGGAGAAAGAGAGAAACAGAAATAAATGTAGACAAATCTGAGTACACTGCATTGAAATTGTAGTAGTTGTATATAACCGCAGTTAAATACATACGTATCCGGTATTTAAACCTTCACTAAACCATCGTTATATCACAAGAAATTAACGTTAAATCCAAAGAGCAAAGTACGAAATGTAATAAGAATATATTCATTCGATGCGTTCAATTATGAACAAACAAATACACTAGCGAAAATAAGTAGATGCAGTATGATGTTGATACACTAGCTTAATAACTCTGAATAAAACGATTTATCATGCATTCAAAAATAGACTATGTATGAAATATAGACAGTAGATAGATAACCAACTAAAGTACACACGCGCTTGTGTAAAAATCCTTAAGATTCACAAGTTAGTCTGTGTTCAAAGTAAACACACCTAGTCTTTCAAAAGAGTCTATAAAGGACGCTGGCAGCTGAGCGATTAATTATCTACGAAAAAGCTCTTAGTTTGTTCAAACATCATACGACCAGTAAAAGCAAAGTGTTGACTAGCTGAAACCCAAGTTGCTGCATAAAACACTTAAATTTTATTGCCTTTTTACTGTCTACCAGAAGCATTTGTCCCTTTGGGTATAAATTTGATTGCATTTCGTTTTAACTTTTGTTGTTGCTCCCCAGGTACTTAACATCTGTGTCAATAATTTTTGGCTGTATGATACGCCTCTTTGGCCAGAAATAATTTTAACCGTTTAATCGGTAAGATGCATCGTCTGGGTATTTTGTATTTCTTCGATGGAATTTATTTCCACAACTTAGTACCAAATATATTACGCACAGAATTAGCGTTTTCATATAACCATTGGTTCTGACTGGCTCAAATAAAATTCATAAGCTACACTGAAAAGATCAGTAATTTGGTGCAGTTGAACAAACCTTGGTCAGCTGAGTCTTCTGTGTTCATACAAAATAACAGAGGTAAAGTTGTTACGACACTAAGTAGACTAGCAGACATCCTTAACTTAGCTTTCGACCATGAAAAATATATGCAGTGAGGCGTACCTACAGATATTCACCAAGCAGTTTTTAGTGCCCCTGAAATTAGGAATCCTTTTAAATGTGATAAAACTTGATATTTTTACATGAATAGAAGCGAATCGCACCATAGTACGATTGCTTTGGCAAAGAAAAATATCCTTCTGCAGTTAGTTACGCATCAGAGTTTTAGGAAAAACATTGAGAAGAAATAATACAAGTTGAACGAATAAAGGAATCGTGCAGAACGGCTCAGTTCTCAGAGTTGATAACATTAGAAACATTTGAGACTACGAAGGGAACACAAATCGGATTCTTGAATATCGTTAAATTAATATGAACACTTTCAAAAGTGAATCGAAGGAAATAGTTCGTTAATTAGATTGTTCGGACGGGGTCAATCTAGTTCTGAGCTTTCTGCCGACTCATGAATATCTGATGAAAAGTGCAGATCAAAGACCGACTTCTTCAATTTATTGACGCTACTGCAAACATTGAAGAAAGATTTAATAATATCCTTGTTTTATGTATCTTAAATAAACTAATTTGTAGATAAATAACAGGATAATGGAAAAGAAATCTGTTGTTTAACCTACGTAAGCACTGCAAACTGAAACACCTGAGCAAAATTCAGATGGCCCTATTCATCAGGCCATAACTAGCTCTGAACCCAATATCACTGAAATAACCTCTTTAGTTGCAAGGGATCACGTAAGCACTTAACTACAGGGTAATTTAAAGACCTATCATAAGTTAGAACCTGTAACTAATATTGGTAGGCCCTGCAGGGATTACGTCATTAGAACAACGTCACCATCCACTAATAATGGGCTCGTTTGTGTTGTCCAAAATTGTTTTCTATGGGCTTATTATTGCGGCACAGTTGATTGATTGAATGTCACTTTTTCTATGATGGGTTCAAACGTGGAATAGGGAAGAAACATGACAACTGGCAAAGGAATTTGAATATATCATCTTCGGGAATTGGTTGCGCCAATCTCAGTTAATAAACGTTAAGAAGGAAACCCGAAGTATTTAACTGAGTATTAGTCGCTATCGTGAATTTATTTATTTTCACAGGGCTTCGAATGTATTCGTTTTACTCAAACTTTGGACATGTTTGTTTATAACTTTTACATTTGACATTTTGGTTTCACATCGTTTTGGCTCGGTATTTTGGGAGTTTTAACCTGGGAACTTGAAAGTCGAAGCTCTGTTTGGAAATTTATTGTACTGATCATATGAACGATTTACGGACAAATGTTTTCCAGAAAAATTCGACCTCACTATTTTTTTCATTTAGGTCGTTTATTAAGAGTGTATCAGTCAACAGGGTATTTCGAATGGGTCAAAGCAGTAATCAGGCATAATAATTAGTGAATAACTTTGCTAAAAATCAACCACGATATCAATTATCATATGAATAAAGGTAGTGCAGATTGGATACACCTGCAGTGGTCAATAAATCCCTAAAATTAATAGTTCTGTGAGTCTTCGACAGTGGTGATGACTTGATAAGTTTTCGTGGAAAATCTCTAGCTGAAGGCGTTCGGTCACGCATCTGCTGCATAAAATTTGTGGGTGCGTTGTGTAATGTATCCCTTGTAACCAATAGTTGGCTTAAGGCGAACGCTTCTTAAGATATCGACTTATAGATATATTTTCGAACCCATTCATCCCCAACTGCTGATTTTACTAGGTTGGTATAGTTTCTTAATAGAGGATTTATATGCAAAGGAGTTGTCAAACTCCGAATGCCTGTAGTATTATTACACTGAAGTGGTGATGCTACTTATTCAGATAGTCGGACGATATGGCTGACTAAACTGATAGTATTGAGGATAAATACAATGAGGATTTGTTTCTCTTCTGAATGTCCTTAAACTGTTATGGAATACAACATGGTTCAGAAATATTAAATTCTTAATATAAAGGAATAGTTTGTTAGGACTGTTTGAGTTAACTCCATTTCCCTATCGCGAGTACTGGTGCAATCCATTGTTAAGAAAGCGAAATAAAGTTTACATGTATGTGAATCAAAATTATTAAAGAGACTGATCAACCAGCGGCTCTATAGCATAAAGGGAATGTCTAGACGCACACACTCCTCAGACGGCATGGAATTATCTTGAATAGGGAGAATGCATGTGAACGAATATTCTCTTATAGTCTCACAGAGGCATACTAAATGAATCTTACATTCACAGAGAATTAATTGTTCGCGATATGAAAGTCTAAAATCTCACATGTTAACCAATGATTCTCAGCTAGGAGGCAAATTTACGGAAAAAGTAGTTCAAATCCATGTAAGTAACAGGTGTAGTGGAGTGCTTCGTTAATCGATCGTCTCGATAACCGTTATTATATCATCGTAAACGGTGTATAATATCAGAAGACAAAGGGAAGCAGCAACTACATTTTTATTGATAAATAACGTGGGCTAGAAGGCAGTGAGCACATTAGCAAATGTAAGCAAGCGAAGGAAAGATGACGCATAGTGGAGATGGCTGGGAAGCCAACTCGTTATAAGCAAGCATTAATCAACATTTATAGTCAGACTAAAATGAATGACAGACATGTGATAGGTAGGATAAGAAGTGTGCATACACATACGCTCATATAAAAAAATAGTCAAGGTCAATAAGGGAATAGTTAACAATATCAAAATATGACTCATAACGTTACAGGTGAATTGGCTTGTCCAGAAACTAGAATAAGCTATGTAGGTGTAATATAGTACACGA